AGAGAAGAGAAGAGAAGAGAAGAGAAGAGAAGAGAAGAGAAGAGAAGAGAAGAGAAGAGAAGAGAAGAGAAGAGAAGAGAAGAGAAGAGAAGAGAAGAGAAGAGAAGAGAAGAGAAGAGAAGAGAAGAGAAGAGAAGAGAAGAGAAGAGAAGAGAAGAGAAGAGAAGAGAAGGCTCCAGGGAGAGCTCAGAGCCCCTTGCAGGGCCTAAAGGGGCTCCAGGAGAGCTGGAGAGGGACTGGGGACAAGGCCTGCAGGGACAGGACACAGGGAATGGCTCCCAGTGCCAGAGGGCAGGGCTGGATGGGATATTGGGAAGGAATTGTTGGCTGTGAGGGTGGGGAGGCCATGGCACAGGTTGACCAGAGCAGTGGGTTGCCCCATCCCTGGAAGTGTTCAAGGCCAGATTGGATGTGGCTTTGAACAGCCTGACCTAGCCCACCCCACATCAGGGGCCTGGAACTAGATGATCTCTAAGGTCCCTTCCCAGTCAAACCATTTCATGATTCTGTGAGTAAGACACCAACTCCTGAAAGTACAGCCTGAAATAATGATCAATTCTAGATTCGCATAATTCCAAAACTCAACCTTGGACACCTTTGGTGAAGATGTGGCAAGACCCCACAGCAGCAGCAGCAGCAGCTCTTTTTCTGTCCTAGGTAGCACATATAGACTCTCAAGCCTGCCTACTGCATTTACTTATCACTGCTTCAAAGACCAGTTGTCACTGTTGTCAAAACTCCAACATCTGCAAGTAGTGAAGATTACATATCTAAGATTCATAACTAAAGGCATGTCCTGGGTCCGGCTGGGATGGAGTTAATTTTCTTTATAGCAGCTGGTACGGCACAGAGTTTTAGTTTAGTGCCCAAAACAATGCTGATAACAAACTAATGCTTTAGCTACTGCTGAACAGTGTGCAGACTAGCAAAGCCTTCTCTGTTTCTCACCCTGTTTATCCGGTGAATAGATGCCCAAGAGGTTTGGAAGGGGTCACAACCAGGCAGATGATTCAAAAAAGAGATATTCCACACCCACAGCATTTCACATTCATTTTTAAAAGGAGGTTAGCTATCTTTTGCATCATGTACATGTTAGAATTCTCCTGAAGAACTCCTGGAGACTGAGATAACATAACCCAGATCTTGTAGTAACAAGGAAAAAGAGAACCAGAACTACAGCAAAAATAAACAGTAACATGCAGCAAATCTACCAGCTTTAGACATCTCAGTTATGATACACAGTACGTAACCTGCTTGTTCAGTGAACTGCTCACACTACATCTAACTGCAAGATGTGCTAATTTTAACACAAATACTTCCAGCTTCCCATCCCTGAAAAAAAAAACAAAAAACAAAAAACAAACAAACAAAAAAAAAAAAAAAAAACAACCCAGCAAACACAGTAATTTCCTCATACTTTTAGTTATGTCAGATTGTACCAAGCCACTTCCCAGCAAAACTGAAAGATCTGGGGACTCACAAGTAGGTATTAGCGAACACTTCCTTAACACAGACCTTTCCACAAATCTTATTCTTCATGATGAGGTCTGTTATTTTATATGTCTATTCCTATCCTTCCCTTCCCTGTGTATCAGGACACAATTTTGTGAGTACTAGGTATATTCCTCATCTTCCACCCCAAAAGCTGAACCAAAATCACCTACAAGACTATATATATACATACACACACATTCACATACATATATATGTATGGATTTATGAATATACATAACCTGCAAAATAAAGTACTTTTGTGGAGTTGAAGCAGTTTTCTGTTTGTACCCCTAGTCCTAGTAGATGTTTACCCAGGGAATCAGAATGTAGGGAGATAAACAAAACAACAGCGGAAGTACATACAATTTCCCTATCACTAGTGGTGGTTTTAACTCTAATTAGTGGTGACTTCATTCTCATATTAACTGAGCCAAAATAATTGTAAATCCTCCCTGATCTTGGAAATGGTTGAAGAAACACAAAGTATATCATGAGGTTTGTTTGTACTGTTCTAAGGGCTCTGAAATAAATCCTTCTGGCCATTTCTAAGTGGCAAACAGGCCCCTTGCAATGCTTCTCCCTCTGACAAGGGGCTCTTGCCCTCGCTTGCACAAGAAGGCATCAGAGCATCACTTTAAGAATCAGCCATCATCAGCAGCACTGGGATTGCAGGCTCTGTCTTGGGAGGACTGTCAGGCACCATCTCCACTCATTGAAAAAGTGTAAGTTCTGAAGTCTTTCCTTTATGCAAAACACTGAACATCAGCTCCTCAGTGTGAAGTTTGCCCATATATGTTCTGTGACCATCTGGTCAGATTTAAACATCAACACATTAAGAATTAAATTTCAGACTAAGATCTGATCAGCTGCTGCAAAAAGATTTTAATGCTTCAGATAAAAATATATTAAGATACAAAAGTAGTGCTCAGAAAGCAGGACAAAACCTTACTTTTAAAATGTAATTCAATTATACAAATCCAGATCAATGCTTCTTTTTGAAGGAGAGTCTTGCTGATCTTCAGTTCCTGCTTTAGAGCCTCACAGTGCTCTTACAGAACAATTTCAATTTTCAAGTCGTGCTGTCTGGTAATAAATTATAAAAGGATGATGCTGAGAGCAAATGCAAATCATATCTGTATTTTATCTTCCTACAAGCTATTAGATAGTCAGGAAAAATGGGCCACATATTAAATGTAGCAGTCTCAAAACACTATTTCAGCCCACTGATTTGGAAATCTAGTCCTTAGGAATACCAAATACTGTTAATGTGACTGGATTCTTCCTATTACCTTTTTTCTGTTCCCAGAGCATTTGTTTCCTATTGTAATGGGAAGTTTCTCCATTTTATTGAGGGCATTCACTAATCCTTACTAGCACTTAGCACTTGGAAATTTGTTTAAAAACATACATAAAATATCTGAAACATGTACAATAAATGATCTGATTCTCATCTGAACTAGTCACACATTTGGTTTCCAATGGAACACTGCCATCCACTAGTAACCCCAGGACCCAGGATGACGACAAGACCATCAGCTGACAACGAGCAGCAGGTTCAAAACCAACCAACCAACCAAAACCCCCTCAAACCAACCAACCAATCCCCACAATCATCTTATCTTTCTACCATCCACCTTTGTATCATATGTCTCTCTACCCATACACCCAACTCCTTTTACATTCTTCCTTCTCTCTTTCTTTTGTCCAGCACTCAAGCAAAACTGAAGTCATTGACTGAAGATATGTTTAATTGCTCTATTGCTCTGCTTTAGCTTTTCCCAAGGAAATTACTTTGTGCCCACCAGAATTGATGAAACATCATTCCGGAAAGAAATATAACATTATATGCCTAACCATTGCTGCTACTAATTAGAAAGTTGTGACAGACTAATTAGTCAGCATCTAGTTTAACATTCATAACCTAAACATGCCAATGATTTGATAATTATGCAGTTACACTCTTACAAATACACCTTACACATCTGTTTCTTCACGTAGCAGCCGATTAACAAGATGCTAAAGATGACTGGAGTCAGCAACAATGTCATATCTTAACATGCTTGTTCAAAAATCCATTAGAAGAGTTCACCACTCTTATTTCTCCCCTCTTTATTTCAAACCCTATTACACAGAAGTTACTATGCACCCCTAGGAGACACTCAGGGTAAAAAGATATTTTTTGGAAGACTTTTGAGAATGACAGAATGGTTTGGGTTGGAAGGGAGCTTTAAAGGTCACCTTGTCCAAACCCTTGGCAATGGGCCGGGAAATCTTCAAGTAGACCAAACCTTGTTCAACCTGGTCTTGAACACTTTCAGGGACAGGACACCCACTTCCTCACTGGACAACCTGTGCCAGTGTTCTACCACCCACATTGTAAAAAAAGATCTTTAACATACATAGTGTATGTTGAGGCAATGATGGCATTCTGCTGCAAGATGTCAGCAAAGCAGTAAAAAAATGTCATTGTAAAAACATACAGGAGGCAGAGATTTTTATATTAACTTTTCTGCATATAAATGGTCTTTGTTAACATAGGCAGCAACTTTTTCCCTTTTTTATAACGTTATTGTTAACTAAGTCCTTTAGAACCAATGACATTTGTCCTGAAGCATGCTGATATGGAAGGTCACACCGATTAGCTCAGTGCAGAGTAAAGCCACTAGAGCACAGTGCAAGTTTTGAAGATATCTGTGGAGAAAGGGAGACACTAACTGTGCATGTGCTGTGAGGAAACAAGAACTCAAACTCCCTGCTGTAGTGGACTTGTTAACTCATATCTCAGGTATCCAACTATAGCACCTAAACTACTTTCAACAGAAGCTAGGAATTTAGAAGTTACCTATACTTATTATATTGAATTTGACTTCCAAGAGTAATAAGCACCAGAGATGCAAATACAATCACACACGAAAGACAAGAACAAAGTAATGTTCCCTGCTTATTGTACATGGTCTATTTGGGCTTAGATAAGCAAACAAAACACGGAGTATCTTAGTTTTGAATATTACATGTACAATTCTCTCCAAAATCTTCAGGCAGTTTAGCAGGAGCTAACTCCTGCAATTGAACAGCTTTATGCATATAGGAAGCAATCAAGCTGTACAGTTAGAAGTTTTACAACTATAAGATAAATGGCACACATCTTTAAAACATAAGTACACGGTGTGTTACTACATTTCCATGGATATAACCATTACTGGAACTTAGGAATAATTCCTAAAAGGCATCCAGGAGAGACTTATATACAATTTTTCTTTCTGTGCTATTTAATATTAATATTTCTCCAGAGAAATATTAAGGGAGTAAAAGGTTCCTAATGTGAAGTGCTCAAAACATTTTAGAAGCTATGCGGATTTGTGTGTCAAAAGCCAAATAAAAGTCAAGCATGACAGGAATTAAAGGCAATATGAGCAGGGCTAAAAGCAGAAGAGGGAACACAGTTTTAAAAATTGGGGAGAATATAATCTGTGGATAATGTGGATTAACAGATGTTTTTACAAAGCTATTATCACTTAGAATCAAAGCATAGTTCTGAAGTTTGTTCTTATCCACTTTGATGCATCCAGTTTTGTTTTTATTCATGTCAGTAGGTATGAGACAACAAAAGTTCAAAGAAGTGCTGCTGATGCACTGGCATAGTGGCAACATTTATGATGATTCCTTATTCCTAGAGACCATATCCTCAATGAACCCAGGAGAAAATGTCATCTCTTGTGCAGATCCCATACAGTGTGCCTACAACCCCAAAGGCTCTTTCCCAAGTGTTTGGATATCAAGTCCAGCCTTTTCCAAACACAGAAAAACAACAGATGCTGTGATAATAAGGTTTTTTATAACACTTGCTTCTTACTAATCCTATGGCTTACAAAGCACACAATAGTGTAAAATTAACACAAAAGGAAGTGTTTTCCATAAAGCTGCAAACCTGGAAAAAGTTTTTCTCTGAAGGCAGAATTTAAGAGACAAATGAGCTAATCTAATGTTTGTGGTAATAGAAGGGTGTACTTGTTGGCTCTGACTCTCATCAGGGCCTTCCACAGATTAATGCATAAAAGAGAAGAATACTGCCCAGTATTTTTTTGCTGTGCAAGTCTTTTTTAGGTGAATTAATGTAGCTCACAGGCAAGCACTGGACTTGCAAGTTAAATGATCAAAAAAGGTGGAGAGGAAGAATTAATCTCATCTGTATTTCAAGAAACTTCAGTGTGACTGAGCCAACCTAATGTCTGTCTTGTTTGTTCCTCCCTGCCTCTGGCCCCACACTCACCTAGGATGTCCTATACACCTTTTCTGCTTTCAGTAGCTCTGTTAACTGACCTAGTCACAGACACTGGGAGCTGTGTTCCTTGAAGAAGGAATGAATGAGCTATGCTAATCTTACAGCAGGTACAATGTGAGAGTTCCCAGGAGCTGGAGTCATTCTTTCCCATGAACTGCACTGATCCATCTGGAGATCAACAACAGCAGGCAGCAAAACTGTACACAGAACAGTTCTTCAACAAACACTGTACAGTGCAGAGAGCTACATATTCATAATGCAATAATTCCAGAAGACTAAATAGTCAGCCACCACCTTAATGCAGAATTTCAGACAGTCTTTCCAATTGTTTGAACCCATATCATAGAGTGCCCTAATTTAAAATACAAACCCATCACTTCAATTCAATATATTCTGCTGAAAGCTATAGTGAAGGCCAGCTAGATCCAGCACACTCACTGCAGATCATGTTACTATGTTTGTCACTAGTCAAAGGCTCACATATCATGTTGCTGTTGTAACTGAAGGGTAACACACCTGGAAGGGATGGGAACTTAAATGAAATGTGAAAATTCAAATACCAAAGCAAGATCTAAGTGCAGATTGTAGTTGGATCTATAAGATCACACCACTCTTAAAGTGTTCCCAGATGAGGACCCAGATTTGGAAGACCCGTGTTTCAGTAGCCAGGCGGATCCTTCTCCCTAAATGAGAATATAGAAGCAAATGTGGACACTACCTCCTCTTGCCCCAGGGAAAAAAAAAAAAAAGAAAAAAATTCCATTTCCTGTTTCAAGGAGGGAGACAAAGGTATATGCTCACTAAGGCAAGAGTAAGGCACTGAGAATGAGTACAGCTGGCACACAGCAAATGCATACAGCAGCTCTTGTCAGCTTTGTGCCCTGGAATAACTCCAGCCATTAATCATGGGGGTACCACACCAGGAGTGCAGCACTCTTCTTTGCCTCACGCTAAGGAGGATGTACTACCCAAAACCATCCCAAGTGCAAACACAAGAGATGCAGAAGTAATGCACAATAAGAGGTATTCAAGAAAATTTTTTAAATGCCAGCTTGGCTAACAGAAACATATTGGCAGCACACAGTACATCCACTTTTCACTGCAGCAGCATGATTGTTTCAGCATCCTGGCCAGTCTGCCCAAGCTTACTCAAGTACGTTAGCACTTCCACTGCACAAATATACCAAATGCTTACAGAAAGGAATGTGCTGCAATGCATGGAGCTGAAGGCAAGATCTCCAAGTACTTATCAGTGGACTATCTCACCCGCTGTCCTTCTGCACTGCCATGTGCTCACCTTCCCCAAATCAATGGATCAAACTGACTCCATGCCAGTCTTTGACTTGTTCTTGTTAATTTCTTAATCGAATTAATCTTGTTAATTAAATCTTATTAATTTGTCGGGCCTACACTGGCACTAACAGTTCCTCTGAAGCATCAGTGGAGCTGACAAAATGCATGCAGTATGCAAGAGCATAATGAAGAGATAATTAAGATAAAGATAATGGATGAAAAAAAAGATGATGATACAGAAATAAAGAAGTTAGCTGACAACCAGACAACTCTGTAACTAAAGATTATTGGCAAGAAATCAGTAAGGAGACAGACGGAGAAGAAGGCAAAATTAGAGTTCCCTGTTAAGATGTTACACCTGTAATATTCAGGAAGACACTTCAAATTACTTACTAAACAGTCAAGAATTTTAAATGACACATTAAACGACATTTCAAAATTTTTAGAACAGAAAATACCGAACTAAAAAGCAAAAGCTATGTACCAGGCAATACAATTGCTAGAAATCCACTCTCTCCTGTATCAGGATTACATGCCTAGTTTGTCATACCCTCAGAAATCTATCTCACAAAACTAATGTTTTAGTAACGACAGTACAAGACTCAAGATAAACTACAGCATCAGGGTCAGCAGAAATCTCTTTTGCTGAATGCTTCCTCACAGGGAGCCTGTCAGACGGGATAAAACCAGAGTCGTCCCTGTGGGGATCCAGCCCGGGGATTCGGCTGCGCTCCCCTCCCTGGGGCTGCCTTACGAAGATGCTGGGCTGGGCCCACCAGGACCTTTAAGTTTTAAGAACTATGAAGAAAACGCTAGTTAGTACGGAAAGAATAAAAAAGTCTCAAACAATCCCAGACCCACAGATATATCGACACTTGCAAATCGCGGAGGGCAGGGCCGGCAGCCCCATGCACTCCGCTGCCGTCCTGCAGCGACAGCTGGGCCCCCGGCCTGCTGCAGGGCGACTGCAGCACCTCAGGGCGCCCGCGGGAGGCGGCTCCAGGAACGGACACACTGCACAGCCCGTACGCGGCGGCTCCCCGCCCTCAGCAAGAGTGCCCGCGGGTGGCTTGGGGAGGACACAGCCCGGCACAGTCACTAACCTGCGGCAGCAGATGCAGGAGCATCCACAGGCGGAGCCGGGCCGGCCGCGCCGCCATGCTGGGCCTGCTGCGTCGCCGACGCTTTGTTCCGACCTGGGCCGGGCCGGACCCTTCCGCACCGGCTACCCAGAGCCCGCCCCGGACGTCCCGCCCCAGCGCCCCGAGCCGCCAACGAGCTCCG